ATCCTGCTTGCTGCTGGAAAGAAAGCCATCACTAGGAAATGGCTTAGGGTAGACACCCCTACACAGGAACAATGGGAGGGGATAGTGGATGAAATAAAAGACATGGAAAGACTAACTTACAGGATAAGAATGAAGGAAGAAATGTTTGAGGACGACTGGGATAAGTGGCTGAAGAGAGGGATGATTGATTGATTGGTTTTGGACAGATTGCTCTCTTTCCTTTACTTTTTCTTAACTGCAGGCCCTGTCTTTGTTTTTGTTGTATGCTGTTTTTGTTGTCTGTTTGATGAAAATAAAAATAAAAAGTTATAAAAAAAAAATTTATTATAAGCCTATGAAAAGTTGTGTCAGAAGTGGGATTTGAACACACACTTCCAACAAGAGACCAGAACACCCATTTCTAGGGAAAGCATTGAATCTTGCATCTAGCATCTTAGGCCGCTCACCCATCCTGACAACACCAGGGTGAATTTGTGGCTCTGAGGCTAGGGATCTGTGCCAGCAATTAGAAGCTTGCTGGTTCAAATCCTGTGAATGCCTGGAGTGATTCTACTCCATTGGGCCCTTGAGCAAGGCCCATAACCTGCAATTTCTTTGTCCTGGGTATGACATTAATCTACATCCAGCCCTATAAGGAGGTCCTCCAACTTACAGGGGAAAAAACTTAGGCGTTGATGGCAGAATTGGCACTCGAGCCACTGGGGAAAAAATCACACTGGTCCATTTGGTGCTGAGATATCGCCTGCCACATGGCTTTACTCAGGTTCTCATCCCTGAGGTGGTAATTGTCATGTGGTGGGTGCGACAACCATAGCTGTCAAGACTCCCATTTTGGCCAGGAAACTACTGTATTTTACCCCTCTTTCCCACCGTCCTCCCGTATTAGTATGTGGCGGCAAGCGGGTAGTGATACTGGTACACGTCTACGCCACCTGGAGAATTTCACCCCAGGAAATATTACTCTAAATTAAGAGCACACAGGTTCGTCTTACTGAGTGGAGCTGGAGACCTGTTTTATACAAATAACCATTAATTGAAAATAAAATAAAACACACTTTAACATCAACAACCCCAAAGAAAAAAAGAGAAAAGAACCAACGACCAACCAGCAAGAAACAGCCGTTAAATAAAGTTGATCTAAAGGAGGAATGAAGTCCACTACCACAAGCACACAAACACACACACGTGCTCCACCACACAANGATCGAGTTCTAGGTCAAACTGGTTTGTTCGACTTTCAAGAAATTCGAGTTCTAGTGAGTTCGAGAACCGAGGTACGACTGTACATAAGGGGTATTCTTTCATACACACGCGCACACAAGCACAAAAACCTTAGCAATCAAAATAAGGAAGAACAGTCAGAGGTACCTTGAGTTCTTAACCACAACATAGTTGAGTTCATGGCAATAAATGAAGAAAATTAATGCATCCCAAGAAGGGTGTCTTGCAACTGGGAGTACCCAAGGGATATGATTAATGATGAGCTTTTGATTTTGCATTATCAGTCAATGATTTTATTTACACGGCCCACAACGTTTATAATTAATTATTCAACCAATCAGAGGCCTGTGAAGGGACCAACTTGAGTAGAGCTCAAGCTGGACTTGACAAAATACCAGTAAAGTAATTCACCAGCCAGATAACTGAGGACATGACATGTGTTAATTGCAAATAAAATTTGGTTTAATAATCAAAAAAGTATATTAAATAAATAAGTGGAAGTTCCACTGCAGTTAGTGTACATTAGTCATTTGACCCCCCCCCCAAAAAAAAAATCATTCACAGACAGCAAACTGGTAAAGACATCAGATATGCAGTTGCACATTTTGAATTAATATTTCCTCCAAAAGTAAAGTGGTTGTCATTATGGTGAAAGTAAGTGCTAGGTATATTCATGGGTGGAAATGTGTTTCTAATCATATATTTATCCAATTTCTAAAATAAAGTACAGATGTCCAATTGCTGTTACTAAGAAAGCAAGGATGCTGTGCTGAGTTTCTAGAGGACATTTTTACTGGAGATGCACATGCGTCTTATGCATGACTTTTCAAAAAATTGGTGTGACCTCAGCTTCTACAACGAGCTCCTTGACTTAAGAACCAAACAACACATAATTACAAAGCGCAAAGCTACAATTGGATTGGGGGCATCATTCCACTCTCTTCCTTCAAGATTGCTCTAAAATCTGAAAATCCTCTAAGGAAAATTACCAAATGATAAGTCTCTCTTCTTACAGCAAAACCCTGGCCTGTATTTGAAAATGTGGGAATTTTCAAGGCTGCATACCTATTTATGGTGGGAAGAGAAAAGGCCTGAACAACAATCTCTTCTCAGTAGATAACTGAGCTGGGGTCTACTAAGAAAAATGAGTATGTTTAGGTGGACAAACTTGATTAAAGAAACACCCCAACCACACTGCTCCTCCCAGTTATTCCTCCTCAGTTATCTCACTAATAATCTCTTACTTCACCCATACTTCTCTTAAAAACATTCCCCTCATAAAGGCCCATCCATATCCGCTTCTTACAGAAAATGCATCTGCTACCACTGTCAGACATCCTTGCTTTTTATTCCGGAATTTTCAGAGCCATGACTTCTGGCTTGATCTTGAAGTACTGGTTAAACCGCAGTGCTGCATACCTGCATGACAGGGCGAATGAAGACATGAGTATGATTTAATGGATTTTCAAACCATGTTCCCCAAATATATAGCCAAAAATCATAATAGTGTTAAGATCAAACACCCCAAAACTAGATAAAATGTTTTTAAATCTTAACTGTATTACATGCAACCCACAACAAACAATTTGTGGTATCACTTTTACAATAAGGCTCCCTATTGCCACTTACAAATGGAAGTAACTCATTAATAAAAAAAAAAAAAAGGTGTATTTTAACTTGTTTATAATTGTCTATTAATGATTTATATGGTGATACAACCTAATTAATAACCTGATTAGTCTTACTGTAAAGTGGTACTCAATTTGTATGGTGTATATTTTTTTTCTGCTCAATTGTTTCATTTTATTCTCTGGCCCTGGACCATTTAAATGCTTTTGTTTATTACAGAAATAAATAGTAATATAATTAAACTAACTACCTCAGAAGCAAAACCGACGTTTTAGACCAGGGGTGTCAAACTCCAGTCATGGGGGGCTGGAGGCCTGTGTAGCTTAGTTCTTTCCTGTTCTACCACAAATGATTCAACTCAAAAGCTGTGTGGTAATTAGCACAAGGAGTTGAATCAGGTGTGTTAAACAAGGAGAAACCAAACCCTGTGCAGGGCTCCGGCCCACCAGGACTGGAGTTTGACACCCCTGTTTTAGACAATGAGGCTTTATAAGTCTTTCTTGAAAGCAACATTGATATGTTACGTCAATGAGTCTGTGAGAATGATCCAGACTGTATCTAACGACAAATCCATATACATTTTCCGCTTTGGCTTTCCTCTTTAATCAAAACAACTTTGTAAATAACAAAATATGTTTAACTAATACATGAGGTGTAAATGTTACTATTATTAGTACCATGGACTGACAGTTTAGAATACATTGCTGATAAAAAAAATGCAATCAATTGCCTAGCCGAGACAAGCTAATATGCTACACCATAGGCTGTGATGTATTATTCTAAACCACTAGTCAATGCCACCAAAACCCACACATTGACACCATTATGTGTAGAATGGTTACCAATTAGGCAAGTATCCTGGTCACTTAGTTTCACTGGGGACCCCTGACCTAGCGTCTGTATGAAACAATGTGCACTAAAATACAGGACAAATCATACCCAGTGTTAATGGTTCAAAATGGAGTCTTTTAGGTGTTTTCACACTTAAGTTCTGTAACTTGGTTCTTGGTCATCTCAGCTGGTGACTATTATAGCTTCCAGCCACTTTCATATGTCGCTTTCACACTGCACAACAGGAACTGTGACCTTTATACTAAATAAGCATGGGAGATGCAAAAAGCTTGCAGGATAAACTTCATACTAGGGCTGGGCGATATCATATCGATATTATATCGCGCATGCGCAATAATCACTAGGGCTTCAGATGACAGGCGTAACATTTGGCCATGCGCCAGCTTTTCAGTGCTATACGGACATTTATTTAAGCAGTTCAGTAGTATGGCTAAAATATTAATGAGGCTTTGTATGACGTCCAAAAGTCATTATAAGCATAAATACGGCATATCCTTATGTTTAATAAATGAGTCAGACTTTGAACTGCAAAAAGTACCACCACACTGCCGACATCTTTTTACAGTATGTTGTTTATCCGCAAGATCTCCTCTTTTAAAAGATGTTGTGGCTGCTCTTCTTCACCGCGACTTCAGTGCATATTGCACTGAGTTATACCAAACCGTAGTATAGCAAAACAGTATTATGTGGGGTGCTCGCATTTGAATTTAAGAATCAAAGTTTATACAGATTACTAACTTTTGGGTATCACAAAAAGCATTTCATTAATATTTAAGCCATACTACTAATCCTCTTACCAAATTATGGGCATAAATTAATGTCCGTATAGCACCGAAAAGCTGGCGTCCGGCCAAATGCTTCGTCTGTCATCTGACCAGGGCGGTGATTATTGCGCATGCGCGATATAATATGGATATGATATCGCCCAGCCCTACTTCATACGTACATAAATTCATATGAAATTACATTGCTACCCCAAAACAATGGAGGATGAACAAATCGTTTTGTTATTTGTTAGTTACTGGGGTAATCATTGGGACATGGTCATTTTTGTTACATGACAACATTTTAGTTATACAACATTTTTATAATTCTTATTAAATCTGGCCAGCAGATCGAGCTTTCGTTTTCCACAGATTAAAATACTATATACACGTAACTTTTTTCTGCTAATAAGTGCTGCCAAGTTTCACCGTTGGCACTGGTGATATTAGACAAAAGTGTATTGGTTATTGATCGAATTTTTGGACCAGAAATATGGAGATAAGCAAAATATTTATTAAATGTTTAAATGACGTAATTGAGGTACAAAAATAATTCCATTGGTTTTTTTGCTCTGCTATGTCTATCTCTTTTCCCCACATCTCCATGTACCTTCCAATTAATGTCGGTGCTTGTGGTCAACGAAACAGCAAGTTCATTGCTATAAGCATCTACCCAGTAGTTAGAATAGTTAGTGTTCAAACAAAAAGTACCTGCTATGAAACAGGGACTAAAAAAAGAACTGCCTCCAAGAAACTACAATCAGACAAAGTTCCTGTGGTGTGAACACAAGAAAAACTCCTGGTTTGGGAAAAGGATCTAGTTCCTGAAAAAACTTCCTGTGGTGTGAAAGCGCCCAAAGATTTGCATTTCACAATCTGGAAACGAATTCAGTGTCAGTCAACTGAGGATGAAATATTCTTCGTTGTTTTTGTCTTTGCACCCTTCTCCATCTGTTCCACTCTTGCAGAAGCACAAGTACATGTATTGTACATGCACCTATGTTTTAACTATTTTTAATTGAAAATTATTTTTTACATAAAGTTTTTAGTGTTTTTTTTTTTTTTTTTTTTTTTTACACCGATTCACCTACTAGGCGTGTTGACACTTGAATCTAGCCTAATGGTAGTATATTTGTATATACTAATACATTAATTCAATATAATTATATAATTATTTACATGCATGCTGGATTGAATCATTTATTTCTAGGTGTATTATAAATGCAAAAAGCTTTGTTTTCTAAAAAAAAAAAAATTTAAAAATGCAATATTGCATTTGGCTATATAGAGGTACTTGACTTGATACAACCCACCAGAGCATGTAGCTGGAAATGTGCTTAGAAGCACTTAAGTCACTGGTAGAATGTGCATATGGGTCAATTATACATGACACACCCATATGATGGTGTTTCTCCACCCATAGTGCGCATCTGACTGACGGAAGCCTATGCTGATTGTACATTTGGCCGTGGATGCTATTGGCTGCGGTCGGCACATGCATACAACAGTGACATTCCCGCAGACTGGGGACCTGTTTCAGAAAGCAGGATTTCTTGCTTAGTTGAATAACTTGTCTGATGTAAGGTAGGCTGGGCTAAATGTAAGTGAAGGAAGATAAAGTCTATTTAAACTGGGGTATCTTAAATCCAACAAGTTATAAAGTTAAGTAAGAAATCCTTCTTTCTGAAACAGGCATCAGGAGAGGGCAGATGCATTGCAAAAAACAGAAATACAAGTAGACTAGTGAAACAGGTAAACTTTTTTGAAAGGCTTGGGTGGTATTAAGGTAATACAGCAAACCATGGCATTTTGAAATCCTTCAGACAAAATTAGCCGGGACCTGACCCCCAACTTGGTTTTATCACCAAGATTTTAAAATGCCAGAATAGTGCTGCTTTTGACAATACTGTTTATTGTGGTATAATGTCTAGAGAGAACAAAAAAATAGATAAGTGGGTACCCTCTGCACCTCCTCATACATCTGCACATCATAACTGTTACAACAAGTATTCTTCCTCTGCGTTTTCTTGGTTTACCTCTTATCACTCAACCCTGCACTGACCAAAAGCGCATGTGGAAAAGTCAAGTGGGAACTGGCCTTAAATGAAAGAAGCTCATGTAGTAGTTCTGAGTTCACCAGTATGTTCTTTCTTTTTAATGATGAACCAAAGAGTTGACGTTGACCCAGGGAATACAATGTTTATTGCTGCCACTAAACAGTGTCACTACAATTTTGGTGCCATTTGCCTTAAGTCTCAAAGATCCAGATCTTCATCCATACAATGTTTGCAAAGTTTGAAAAAAATCTGTGAAAATGTTTTGAGTCATTCATGCTAATAAAATAAATGTCTGTGGCAGCTGTGGCAGTCTGATCCCAAAACCACATGTATTCCCTGTCTGGGGAATACAGTTAAACACAGAAGGCAAGACCCTTACCCAAGGAAGTCAAAATCAATAGTGGAATACTTGGCCTGGATGACAGCCCAAAATCCCCAAAAGAAATGAGATGCCTGCAAAGAGAGAATAAAAAAAAATCAATAAATTTAAATTTTCAGTTGCCTTCATTCTGTTATTGAAAAGAAAAATGGGACACACTAGCCCGGTAATATTTTCTATTTTCTCTTTGCCAAAGTATTTCTGCAAACAAAGTAATTAATACCAAATACTAATTGATTTCCTTCAATTCCTTGAACCATCTTGCAAAAACACTCAGTGGAAACAATTTTAATACTCAACTAACAAAAAGCAACTTGATAAAAAAACCAGTAAATATAAATAGCCAACTTAAAACATGAGGACACCTGGTATGAATGGCAGTGATATGAAATCTGTATATATAGAAGACAGATCACACAAAAATTTACGATATCAAAGAAGCATATGAGATGCCCTAATGACTAATCAGACATATTAGATCTTTATTGGCAATCATGCACTCACCAAGGCAAATTTGTTAACTTGGACAAAGAGTGTTTCCAGCTCACAGTCTGTCACTGCCTCCCGCTTCTTGGTAAAGTGCTTATAGGCATGCAAGTAAGTGTTCAACCACTCCAGCTGCATTTCCCTGTTGGGGTACAGGCGATAATCCAGCTTGCTCATACCTGACATGGGGAAGACATCCACATATTGGATGCATATTGCATGTGGTCAGTGACTGAATATAAAAATTCATAGTATTCATAATGTAAAATATTGCTATCTGTAGTTTATTTTCACATACCTGCAAACTCATTGAAATGGTTCCCAATGTCAAATGCCTGATAGTTGTAACTTGAGTATTCATAGTCTATAAACCTAACATGACCTTAAATGAAAGAAGCAATCACTATCACCTTCGTGGCACAATTATACAGTAGTATGAAAACAAAAGAGATTTAAGATGAATTTGCTTACCTTCCTTAGCATTGTGAATTATATTTTTGCACAGTAGGTCATTGTGACAGAGAACAACAGGGGACCCCAACTGAGAAAGGTGCTCTTTCATCCAGGCCATTTCCTGTTCCAGTACAGCTTTATCTGGCAATTCCTGTTTAATTCTACATGACACAGAAAAATATATAATTTATGCTTAAAGTGGCACAAATAAAAAGTGTCATTAGAATGCTCACATCTGTTTTTCCAAAAATGTTGGGAGTGTTGAACTATCTCTGCATGTTCAATAGTTTCAAAGGGGGCTCTAGGTCTATCCAAGTGTTGCTCTACACTAGCTGAAACCATCTGGAAAATTTACTAATCAATCAATATATAAAATCATTGCAAGCTTTACATCACAAGGGTATGAGGGGAAAATGTTCTAAATGTATTTATTTTTATTTATTTCCTTAGCTAAACTTTATTTTTCAACAGAAACAAATCTATGTTCTATAGTGTTATAAATTTTGTGCTGTATATGAATTTAATACCTGCAGAATCCCCTGTGCAAAGGGACCCATTGTGGTCTTGAGCATAGAGGACACTGAAATGACTAAAGCTGCATGTGACCAAGTATTTTTTATTAAAATATCTCTTCAGATTTGATGACACATTTTGAAAGTGCAGCTGAAAAATTGGAAACATTTTGGCACATAATAATAGTTACCTGGTGTTTGAAGTGTGCTCTATGAACTCAGTAGCCACGAGGGAGAAATACTTGCGCATCTTTATCCATAGGTTAGGTTTTGGGATGCAGCCATTGTGGGCATGAATGGCATGGATGCGAGCCATCTCTGCTGCAATCAACCTATCAAGAGGTAAAGGAGGTACATAATGCTTAACCCCTACCTTCACCTGTAATGTATCATTATGCCCAACATATCAGCTGAATCATCATCCTGAAGAAGCACACTTTTTTAGCCATAACCCAGGTTCACCTCTTTCTTGGGCTGAGTGAAAACACTCTGGGCTACAACAAGTGATGTCCCAAGCCTTGTCAAATATCAGAATCAGGGCCAATCCAGGACTTTTTTTAATTGATCCATATAAGCTACCAAAACCTGATCCAAATCTGGATCTATTTACTTTCCCACATCCGTATAATTTACATTAGTTGTGCAGATGGACTGCAAGAGCCTGACTGGGACGTATGTTCTGCGAAAAAAATAAAAGAAAAATGCAAATCATAAAATGAAAATACAATCTCCACTTTGCCATTTAGTTTTCAAAGTCTATGGACAAAAATGAATGCATGAAACTTTGAGCAATTGTAGACATTGATTGAATAAGAAGCCACATTTCCAAATGAAACGTGGAGGTCTTATTCATCTTGGGTAAGGCAAATATGAAATGCATAGTACACAGCAGGGACGCCACTCTCCAGAAATTAGCCTGGGCCAGGTCTTATAGGCTACCTAACTGGAAACATGGCAGTCTGCATGAGGCTAATTTCAGTGATTCCTTACAATGGCATACCTGCATAACTGTGAGCTACAGTTTAAAAATTCAATTCATATTTTCAAAATGTCAATCATAAACTGTGTAGCATGTGCCACTGTGAACACTCTAAGAAAGTTGGGAATAACTTAAGCCATAAAATAAGAAGCTATGAATAAGAAGCTAGATGAGTAGCTAACTAAGGTCACATGTGACTTTAGTTCGGATAACATGGGCGATCATGTGTAAGGAACACCAGGACAACAGAATTGGCAAACGCACCGAGAAAGCGCAACAGTGATCTATAACTCTGCCCACTGCTCCATTCCAATTAACATACACTCACCTAAAGGATTATTAGGAACACCATACTAATACGGCACTTGACCCCCTTTCGCCTTCAGAACTGCCTTAATTCTACGTGGCATTGATTCAACAAGGTGCTGAAAGCATTCTTTAGAAATGTTGGCCCATATTGATAGGATAGCATCTTGCAGTTGATGGAGATTTGTGGGATGCACATCCAGGGCACGAAGCTCCCGTTCCACCACATCCCAAAGATGCTCTATTGGGTTGAGATCTGGTGACTGTGGGGGCCATTTTAGTACAGTGAACTCATTATCATGTTCAAGAAACCAATTTGAAATGATTCGAGCTTTGTGACATGGTGCATTATCCTGCTGGAAGTAGCCATCAGAGGATGGGTACATGGTGGTCATAAAGGGATGGACATGGTCAGAAACAATGCTCAGGTAGGCCGTGGCATTTAAACGATGCCCAATTGGCACTAAGGGGCCTAAAGTGTGCCAAGGAAACATCCCCCACACCATTACACCACCACCACCAGCCTGCACAGTGGTAACAAGGCATGATGGATCCATGTTCTCATTCTGTTTACGCCAAATTCTGACTCTACCATTTGAATGTCTCAACAGAAATCGAGACTCATCAAACCAGGCAACATTTTCCAGTCTTCAACTGTCCAATTTTGGTGAGCTCGTGCAAATTGTAGCCTCTTTTTCCTATTTGTAGTGGAGATGAGTGGTACCCGGTGGGGTCTTCTGCTGTTGTAGCCCATCCGCCTCAAGGTTGTGCGTGTTGTGGCTTCACAAATGCTTTGCTGCATACCTCGGTTGTAACGAGTGGTTATTTCAGTCAAAGTTGCTCTTCTATCAGCTTGAATCAGTCGGCCCATTCTCCTCTGACCTCTAGCATCAACAAGGCATTTTTGCCCACAGGACTGCCGCATACTGGATGTTTTTCCCTTTGCACACCATTCTTTGTAAACCCTAGAAATGGTTGTGCATGAAAATCCCAGTAACTGAGCAGATTGTGAAATACTCAGACCGGCCCGTCTGGCGCCAACAACCATGCCATGCTCAAAATTGCTTAAATCACCTCTCTTTCCCATTCTGACATTAAGTTTGGAGTTCAGGAGATTGTCTTGACCAGGACCACACCCCTAAATGCATTGAAGCAACTGCCATGTGATTGGTTGATTAGATAATTGCATTAATGAGAAATTGAACAGGTGTTCCTAATAATCCTTTAGGTGAGTGTACATTTGCATGTTGTGAACTGGAAAATGAAAAGACAAAAAGGTTTTTCAAATTTATTTTTTAATTTTTCACATCTAACTCATACATGAGTGGAAAATTAAAACACAAATGGTGTTATTTCAATTTAATTTTCATTTTGGCAGGATTTGTTGTGCATAGAATTTGAAAACGGCAAAGTGGAGACTGTACTTTCACATTTAATTGCTTTAATTTTCTTTTCTTTTTTTTTTGCAGAAAATACTTCCCATAGCCTGAGGCACATGGCTGGAAACTACAAACTATCGAGATGCAAGTCATGTGGAAATTCATTAAACTGGAAAGTCAAAGTAGCCCAACAGCTACCTGCAAAGTTTGCAATGCCATCCTTTCGAGAGGAGGTAGCAACAGACTGTTGTTTCATATGACAAATCTAATGAAATACTTGCATAAACATCATAGGGAAGAATATTGCGAAATCACAAGGCTTATTCAGATGAAGGTACTGACACCTACTGTATGTGCATGTAGTTTAAAATATTTATAAGATGGAATCAGTATTCTGAGTCGGCAGATATAAATATTGAATAGATCGGACTGGATAAAGGCACCAGAAAAGTGGACTGGGACATCCCTAGTTACAACCACCTCACACCCATTATTAATAATACTATTTTAGTTTCAGTTCTACATATAAAATGTGCAGAGTGTGCAATTTTTTTTTTTGCTCATATGTGCAAGAAGTGGAAAATTGAAAACTATACACCCCATGCTTCCATAATGCTATCACAAAAACATAAAAAGAGAAAAACAGTAAAAAGTCAGCTGTACATCAGGATTTAACAATATCAGAGTGTTCATTTTAGGATGTAATCCCCCTATTCAAAAGCCAAGAAGTTTAATGGTACCTCTGTACCCTGCCGTCTTACCGGAGTAGCACAGGGTCCCTCACATCCTGCGTCCCCAGCGCATCTCCCTCCATGAATTCATAACAAATGCCATTCTGGAAAGTGCAGTATAGGCGGGGAGCACAGCCATTGGCATGAAGCACCTGGAAACTCTTCAGTTCATTGTCTCTGTCCACTATAAGCTCAGTCTTGTTGCCATAGACCCGTACGAGGACCATGTCCTCTGGGGATTCTTCCAAGAAGCAGCCAACAAGCTTATTGGTGGTCCCATCGGTAAAGAGCTGGAAAACAATAGTAGTCTGGGCGTAATTGAGCAAAACACAAATCTGCATCAAAAATGCCATCAGAACAATACCAGGGAGCTGCAAAGCATGACAATCACAGTTTACACGTGGTCTTGAACTAGGGGGAACACTGAATAGAGCTAATGAGTTAAGGCCAGTGTTTTATTTCAAATTCCAATTCAATTCTGACAGCCTTCAAACGATAGCCTCTTGACTGCCTCCCCATCCAGCACATCTTATCACCAGCATGATGAGTTTCACTCCCTTCATCCTCACATTTAGCTGATGTGCAAACTACTTCTCCCCTTCCCCCCTCACCTGTGCCCTCATCCATCACTACCAGACTGGCTGATCACAGTCGGTGAGACTACAAGTCTGCATCAAAGATGGCTGTCAGCAGCATATGGCTAGCCCGAAAAAACTATTGCTTCACCCTGCCTGTTCACTCTCTAAGAACATGATGAAGGACTTTGTTGCTGTGAACAATAAGCTGGACATAACATCAGGAAGACAAAGAAGATCCATTGTACTGGTAAGGCCCTCTGTCCAATAATAATACAGGGAGAAGATGGAGAGGTGGTGCCTATCTACAAATACCTAGAAGTGGATCTCAATAATAAACTGGACAGAGCAAAAACCACAGAAGCACTCTATAAGAAAGGACAGGTCAGGTTACTTCCAGAGGAGGCTTGGGTGTACTAATATCTGTAACAGACTTGCCTAGCCATATTTTACCACTAATTGGTAGCGAGTGCCATTTTCCTAGATACTTAGACTTTATCACCAGACTAAATTCAAAAAAGGGCAAAAGTCCACACCTGTTCTCAATAAAATCTTACCTATGTATTGTGTTTAGATCAGCTAATGTTTATATAAACAAACTGCTGATTAACAAAAATGCCTTAGATTTCATCATAAGGCACTGAAATAGGTGGTTAGGGTCAACATAAAATTCCATGCATGCAAAAGCTTGCTGTTCCTTATAAACACCCTTCCCCCTCCCAAAAAACAATTGTATTTTAACTGCAATCTGAGACTTCCTCCAAATGGGATAATAACTCCCATATACTCAAACCAATAAACTATTTCTTGTAAGGAACACAAATATTTTCATGCCAAGAATGCAAAAATGAGGCAGTCACCATGTAGGCAGGTCCACGAACCCAGCCTCAATTAGACAATACCTTCTTTGTTGGCTTTTTATTTATAATTTTAATACTAAAACTGAACAAATACAATATGGTTAAGCTTTTCACACATTTATTCAGAAAAGTAGATATTACATGTAATCTTTGAACAACTCTTTATGTATTCAAAACAATTTTACTCAATTAACAAGTACAGTATTCTCAAGATGACAATAAATATTACATTTTCCTTCATCATTTAAATCATATGGAAAAAATGTTGGAAAAATATTCAACAACAGGTATTTTTCAGCCAAGCTGGTATGTTTCATCATTTATATATTTTTAAAACATTTCTAAAATCAAAGCTGAGACAGAGAGGGATGGGAGTGTGACCTTCCAGGAGAAACTATTTTGGAATGGTACTATCTAAGCTTAGCATTTACAGTGGCTTTTTCCTTTGCCGAATCACACCTTCTTGAGTTGTGGTGTAACAGACTGTCCCTGTCTCTCATGCAGGTAACTTTAATCCTGCTGAAATACAGATAGTCCTATTGTAATATGACACAGAGCTCTAATGTAGACTGGCCGCGCTCTGCAACAGTGGCTCAGCCCCCATTTACAGCACAGGAATCATGGAAGCTGATCAAGCAAAAGCTCTAAACACTAACGTGACAGACAAAAGCAGTACTGTTTATACATACAAATGCCACTTTAAGAAACCTGAGCTATTTACATCTGCACTGCAAAATTCATACTTATTATTCATTTAATGATTGCTCATGTGAATTTAAAATTAATTTTTAATTGTGTGAATTAAAAGTCTTTGCAAGAAATTTTGGGAACTTACCTCTTCAGTTAGAGCAGGGGTACTCAATCTTATCCGCAAAGGGCCGGTGTGTATGCAGGTTTTTGGAATAACCTGTAGGACAGCTGTTCAAACCCAGGTGTGAAGACTTTTTCAGCCAATCGGTCCTCTAATTAGTAATCTAATCAGGGAGTTGCAGCGAAATCCCGCATACACACCGGCCCTTTGCGGATAAGATTGGGTACCCCTGAGTTAGAGGTATAGGGAAGTGAATAATGATGGCAAAATAGAAATGAATAATAGAAAATATAACAAAAATGTATATTTGAGAGAGTTTACACTTAAAAGGTCAGAATATTAGGCTAGATGTTAACCATTTTCAGTAACTACTGAAATTGCATCTCACAACAGACGAATTGTATCTAGCTAGGTCAGTCTAGAATACAATATATATTTTTTTACAAGTAAAGCACAGGTTCAGGACAGGGCATGTTCACATATTTAGCCAAATTAGCCTACTGCAGACATCATTCTACAAGTAACACAAGTAGGACATTCAATATGCAGGCCAGTAACGTGATAATTCGGTGCACGCTAATGAAACTGGTTAGGGTAAAGAAATAACAAAATACGTGAATAAATAATCAAATAATATAAGATGACAATAGTGAAAAATAAATACATAAATTCTCTATTTACAGTAGTTATCACATCTATTTGTAAAAATGCACCGGACCGATAATAAAAAAAGAAACGCACAAATTTTGAAGACATTATTTTCTTTAGGGCGTAGTTTAAACACGTTAGCTTACTTCTTATGCGAATAGACTATATATATATATATATATATATATATATATATATATATATATATAATTCGATTACCTATATGTATCACCTCTGAACCCTAACATCACATCGTTACCATTTGAGTTCTGACGTAGATGCTGCCGAAAGGCAAGGTATCTGTAAGAGGCTGATTTAACAGAAAATATTTTTCCGATTAAACTACATTTTGCTTGGTGGGCAAACGTATAAACGATATTTATATTGACATTAAGTACAAATAAAAGGAAACAAAATGCTGTAATAAAAGGTACTGTTCATGGTTTCCATAACTGGCACAAGGCGGCAGGCTGCGACATTAACTATGTTTTAGAGGATGATATTCGAATACATGAGGATAAATAAACTGTATTACTTTAGCTGGGCTGAAAATTACATGAATGCAGTAGAAACGACATGCCGGCTTCGAATGTTGGCATACCGACGCATCAGTGTGAAGCCACAAAATTATGAGCCTACCTTGGTTCTGATGAAACTGATGTCCCATGATGGTCGAAGCTGCTGAATCAATTTCATTGCTCCATTTGTAACGTTATGCTCATCAACAAAAACTGGGATTTTTCTGATTGCCGGCGAACCAACAGGCACGTGGATCTCCGTTTCCATACTGCGGTTTCTCCTCGTCTTTGTATTTCTGAAAACTGTGCTCCGCTGTGGCATGCAAGAGACGAGGCGGGTGTAGTTATAACATCACTTTAACGAGAGGGAATGAGTGTGAGGGAATCTTTCAGACTGGTGCTTTATTACTCTCGGTTATACCCGGCAAACAGAGGTTGGCTAATGCAACAAAGTCCCTATGGAGGCTTATCGTACGTCTTCTGCCTGCTTGGCACCACCCTCATCGAATCACCCGACAGCCAGTTACTATAGACGACAGGGAAGGTAAACGCCCCCTTCTTTAGTCTCGGGTTGAGAAATGGCGAGATATTTTCCATCCAGTGCTGAGACACTGACTCCCTCTTTTTCCAGTCTTCAGTTTCATGTTAAAAGCCGCAGGTGAATGCAACTTCGATCTGCTTCTAAGAGTGCAAACTGTCGCTTTTCGTTACTTTACAGATAGAAAAAGGTAGAACTGGTGCAATAAAAAACTACTCAGATTGTGCAAAACGTTTAAGTAAAATAAGGTGCATAAAACACCTATTAAAAACATCAAGCATTATCAACAGCTAATATGCTAACCCAGCCCACTAAAAAATGCGCATGCGTAAAATCCTTAACATCATGGCGGGTAATGCTATACTGCGCATGCGATGTTTTAGTGCAGAGTGTAGTGCAAACCGGAAATATGTCTTTTCGTGATTAGGTGGATATTCCATCAAGATTACAGGACTGCCAACTCTCACGCATCTGGCGTGACAGTCACGCTTTCGGACTCTCACGCTCGCGCAAGAAATCTTACGGCAAATTTATATTATTACATTATAAACCTAAAATTAGCTGCATCAAAAACGGTGGGGTAGTTTGCAAACCCTACAGACTATTTACAAGGTAATAAAACTGTCACATAGGTGTAAATGCGTGTGCGGACTT